CAGAGCCACCTCTGGGTATCCCTTCTGCTGCAGGTAGGCAATGATGCTCTGGCCCACCAGACGGGCATTCCTCACCATGTGCAACACCTCGTCGTACTTGCGCTGGATCAGGGCCAGCTTAAACTTGTACTCCGTGGGATCGATATGGAGCACGCGAGTGCGGCACTCGCGATCCAAGCAGAACACCTGGTTGCCCTTGACGCGAGTCAAGTAAATGGGCAGATCCAATGTACGGATAATGCCGTGGTCTCCGTTGGTGATAGCGTACTTGATGTGGTTGCTGGTGGTGTAGATAAACACGCCCGACTCGTCCCAGGCGCCAGACTTCACCCTACAGTTCTCCTGCACAGTGCACAAGTACTGTAACCTGCGGTCGCAGATTGTCACCGAGTGCTTGCATAGCAATGCCACCAAGGACATGTCCGGAGACCACACCACGTAGCGGCACTTGGCCAGCTTGATGCTTCCAACGGAGACAAGGCGTTGGACCTCGTATAGAGTGACGAACTCGGGATCCCGGATGAGCAGCATGCCCGTGCCGGCATAGAAGATCTCCTCGCAGAAAGTGGGCAGCTTCTTTGTCACCTCGTTCTTAAAGTTCTTGATCACCAACTGCTGGTTGCGATCCAGCACTGCAAACCGATTGCGGGCCACCCAGATGGCGGTGATTCCAGAGCTGCGCTTGCTGTCCGACTCGCTCTGGCTCTCAGTGTCCTTGGGAATCTGGCACAGGTCGTAGGTGCTGTTCTCCAGGTTGTTGGTACGTGTGCAAATTAGCACGGCGTTCAGTGCAGGATTATACGACATGCTGTAAACCGGCGACTTGCCCGGACGCAGCTGCATCACTACCGTGTCCTTGGTGGTGGTAAAGTCCAACTTGCGCAGGAAACGCTCCTTTACGTAGTACAGAATGTTGCCGTGCACGGCGTAGGCCGGACGCTCTCGCTCCAATTTGAAGACCACCATACCTGTAAAAAGGACAGCGAATATAATAATGGCCTTAAATATATAGTGGTTAACTAACCTCCATCGTGGCCAGCTGCAAACAGATTCAAGGTTGGATGCGCCGTGAGAATCCAGAAGCGCTCGTTGTCCCGCCGGAATGTGAAGAGGCACTGGCGCTTGGTCATGTCCCAGACGCGAATGCTGCGATCCTCACCGTTAGAGAGGATCAGGTCCTGACGTGGATGGAACAGCACGCTGGACACGTTGTTGTAGTGGCCGCGGCAGGTGTCCACCTCCCAGGCCTTGTACTCGTTCATTCGCCACAGCTTCACCAGGCGATCATCGGCACCGGACACAATCAGTGGTAGAGTGGGATGGAAGCTGGCCCAGTTGACGCCACGGTCGTGTCCCTCAAGCACATGCTTGACCACGGCATCCGCTTGGCCAAACAGATCGGTGGCACCCGGATGACCCTTCAGGTGATCATCGAGGCCGCCGGGTCCGGGAGCCACGTTCTTCTTGCGCAGACCCGAGATGTCCCACACGCGAACCGTCTGATCCAGCGATGCAGAGACGATCTGGTCCTCCGTGGGATGGAACTGGGCGCACATCACATAGTGGTTGTGGCCCGTCAGCACGCAGATGCAGTTGCGCGACTGCCAGTTCCAGATGCGGATGGTCTGATCGTCGGAGGCGCTCAGAATCCACGGGTATTCGTGGTGGAAGGCCACCGTGCGCACGTAGTCCAAATGGGCTAGCAGGGTGAAGATGCAGCGCCGCTGCTTGTAGTTCCACACCTTGATCTTGTAATCATCTCCGCCGGAGACGAAGAGGGGCATCTGCTGGTGGAAGGCCACGCCTCTCACCGGTCCGTCGTGCTCGTCGAACTTTTCGAGGAGCGTGTGCATCCGGTAGTCCCACAGCTGGATGACGCCACTGTGCAAGCTGACCAGGATCCAGGGGCGTTTCGGGTGGAAGGAGAGGCCCTTCACCCGCGCCGACTTGGACTCAAAGTTAGTCAGCATGTTGGCACTTTTTCCGATTTGCCTGTGTATGTGTCTCAAAATGGGTTCCTCTTCTGGCTGTCGGCTTTTCCTTCAAGCGCCCTTTTTCGGTTGGTGCGGGCACTTGCCTATGTTAATATAAGAAAAAGTAGGTGTGTTGTGTTATTATCCGCTATTAGGATTAATTAGAAAACACGTAATCTATTGCCAACAATTAATTTTATGAAAAACACCAACCAATCGTTGAAATTGTGACACGTCAATTATCTTCTTCTTCTCAGCGCAGACAGGGTTGTCAACTGCTGGCAGGGATGCACTGGTTACCAAAGTATTTGTACGCCATTTGTAAACAAAAGGTGTTTTTCAAAAATGCAGCCTTAAATTGAATGTCCATAATTTAATTCCCTCAAAATATATGTTTTATATTGTTTAAAATATAGTTAAGTTAATTGATTTGGTTTCGTTATTGTTCTGGTAATTCTATTGTTGGTAACTTTTAGTGGCCACTGTAAAGGGCCGCATATGAATGACACTGTTTTACAACACTGGGAAAAAGTGCAATCAAAAATTACACTTCGCTTTGTTTACTTTCCGACCTACCATGAAAAAGTTATAAATAATATAAAAACATGACGTTGGCACACCGGGCACTCTTCACCTGGTTCATTGTCCTGGTATTCCTGATTCTGCTGTGCCTGCGCCTGGACCCCCGCACCACCTGGAATTGGTTCGTCACCTTCACGCCGCTCTGGTTCTTCGATGTGATTATCATCATCTACGTGATCATAAAGTTCATCCGCAAGTGGCGCAACCTTACCTGCCTGACGGACCTCCTGTTCCTCTACAAATGGAACATCGCCGGCGTTCTGCTGACCATCTCCTCGCAGGTCATGATCTGCCTAACGCTGGAGTACCCGCAACAGATTCCCATTTACGTGACCATTGCCCCGGTGGTCCTCCTGCTGAGCACCGCCATCTTCTATGTGGGCAGCAGGTTGGGTAAGCGCGAAGGCTGGATTCAGTAGGATTAAGCATGTATTTTAGGATTAGGGGTACATAAAGTGGAAACTCAAAAGCCGTATTTGCTTTGGGTGGCTCGACGGGTCTGCCGGTTGGCCGACCACATGGCCTGCAGCTCGGCTTCGTTGGCCTTGGCCTTGTGCGCCAGGTAGGTGATCTGGTGCTTGCGCCTCGTTCCTGCCACTGGCTCCTCGTCCGTCAGCACTCCAGTGGGTTGGAAGGTGGTGGACGAGGCCAGCGCCGTTCGCATCCATTCCTCGCGATCGGGCATTACCTGTGAGCCCTCAATGTCGATCACCTGCATCTCCTTGGCCTCCTTTCGCCGCCGCTTGGCATTCTTGCCCACCAGTGCGTCCATGGCCTCTGAGTTTAGCTGCTGCTCGTGGTAGCGCTTCTGTGCTAGCTGCGTCTGCTCCTCCTCAAGTCGGGCGGCCTCTGCTTCGGCGGCTTCCTTCTCGGCAATCTCCTCCAGGTATTTGCTACTGGCCTCGACCATTTTAGCTGCTCGCTTGGCCACCAGTGCGCTAATCTCGTTGCTGCTCACCTCGGGCAGTTTTTGTTCGGAGTTTAGGGAGAAAAAGTCTCCAGTGCCCTCATCATCATCCTCACTATCGCTGGCATTCACCAGGGTGGTGGGTTTGACTTTTGTGGGCTTGGAAGCATCTTTTCCTTCAGGATTCTTCTTTTGACCGGCCCTGGGGCCATCTACACCTTCGGTATTGTGCGCTGCTCGACGCTGCTTTACTGTATCGGGCACAAAAGCTGGAGCAGATCGAGGCTGCACAGGCTGATTACTTGTTGGACTAGGAGCTGTTGTGGTGCTCGCTGTGGAAGTGGCTGCCACGGATGAAGAGTTCTTGGAGAAATTTCTCTCTGACTTTGCCTGCGGCAGCATACTTAGCAGTCCCGACCCCTTGGGAACATTGGGTTTGTCTACTTTGTTCTTGGCCTTGTCAGCCTTCTCCCGATCTACATCGGAAAATTCCCGCAGCGAGGGAATGCTGATCTTGACGCGCCCTTTTACTGGCGGCGGTGGAGGTTTCTCTATTTCAACTGGCAATGCTTTTTTGTGGAGGAACTCGTCGTCCTTCTCCTCTATGATGGCTTTTCCTGGCGCTGCCGTTCGTGGCATTGGCAAGTTGGCAAAAGCGGGGGTCACCAGCTGGTCCACATCCTCATCTTCTGGGCTTGCAGCGGGAGTAGAGACTTTTGGCTTGGGTAAGGCCAGTAGAAGTCTTCCCGTGGAAGGCTTCAGTTCCAGCAGGGACACTTCTTGGGGAACGTAATCGTCGTCTTCATCGCTAATGTGACCACCGCTTGGTTCAGGTTCTATAGGTGCCTCACTGGTGGGATTTGTTGTCCTCGGCTTGGCTGCTGGTTTCACCAGTTCCACTTGTGGCCCCGGGTTTTCCTCCTCCTCGTTCTCTGAATCTTCGTCAGAACTGGCGGCATAAGCAACAAGTGACATTTTTAACAAATTGTTAAAATTAAACAATACAATACACAAACTACAGCTGTTTAGTGGGTCTAGAGTTATCACCTGTTTTAGGACTTTCACTGTTGTCACCTCTTTTAAATAATATGCTGAATTATCCAACACTGCACATAATACCGTTACAACGTGTTTCGGTTTTTAAATTTCGATTTAAAAATACCGCGATCTTTTAAATAACTTTTTAAATAATTTTTGAATATTCTCACCAATACTTTGTAAAATATAAAAAGTTGGTAAAGTTTTTTTGCATGGAGTTGAAGACGTTTTAAACAAAATATTTTCCTAATGCAAAATTAATCTGTTTTGCGAAAAACCGGTGTTGCCTACCTGAAAAGGAATAAATACGAACGCCCTAAAATGACACCGTAAAAAGGGTACATAGCTCCAGATGTTTAAATAAGCTATGCCCATTAACTAACATAAGAGGTCATAAAACCATACCTCAGGTAATCCTCTTTAAATCAAGTACCTACCTGTACCACATCTCTTATTTGATATAAATTAGACTTAACATCCCATAGGAGATCAGTCAACATTTTCACTTCAGAGAATACAGATATAGCAAATACCATGCACCATCACCAGAATCTCGGAGACGCAGGTGCCTTGAATGGGATGATTCCGCCATACGAAGCCATGGCCATGTACGAGCAGCCCAAACCTCGATTCATCTTCAAGATGCCTCGAGTGGTTCCCGACCAGAGATCAAAGTTCGAGAGCGACGAGCTCTTCCGCCGGCTTAGCCGGGAGAGCGAGGTGCGCTACACGGGCTACAGGGAACGAGCGGCGGAGGAGCGCCGGATGAGGTTCATCAACGACTGCCGCAAGGGCTATGCGGAGATCTCGATGGTGGCCTCCGGCACTAACCTGCAGCTCTACTTCAACGCCAACCACAATCCCTATGCCCAGGAGCAGGAGTGCGACTTCGAGCGAGAGCGCGGAAAAGTGCATCTGCGTTCCAACTTCATCATGAACGGGGTGTGTGTCCGGTTCCGGGGCTGGGTAGATCTGGATCGATTGGATGGCGTGGCCAGTCTGGAGTTCGACGAGCAACGAGCCCAGCAGGAGGACGCCCAACTACAGGAGCAGATCCAGAGCTACAACCAACGCATGGCTGAGTCCAAGAGAATTTACCACACGCCCCAGACTCCACCAGAGGAACACCATCGCAGAGGTGGACCTGGTCTGCCCGGAGGACCAATGGGCTGGTAGTGGAAGACACTTATGTATAGGTTAGTTATCTTAAGTATGATCTAAGTAACTTGATAATAAATCAGTAAAACCAATGTTTTGTGTTATTATTATGAATTTATAAGCTAGGTTGAGGTCATCTTCTGAAAGCCTTTGTATAAAGAAAAATCACCAAAACCCCTTATGACCTAATATATAATAAAGGATGTGATTTAAAAGTGGGTATTGACATTTAATTTAGCTGATTAATAGAGAACTAGACCGCAAATCCTTGATAATTCAGTTTCAATAGGTCTAGTTATGTGCCCTGAATTAACAAAAACCCTTCAAATTACAAGGAACTTCCGATTTTGGTAGGCCCATGCATTTGGCGAATGCATGTTCACCTAATGATTGTTTATCTGGGGCTCCTTAAGGGTTGCTGGCCGGGGTCTTTGGCCTTAATTGCGCCAGTTTCGGAACAACCACCACCCGACTCGTCGACACCCGATGAGGAGTGGGTCCAGCTGCCGTTCCTTGGTGCTCTTCACTCTCCACTCTCCGGGGTGGGCCGGCTGTCCTCTCTGAACTCGTAACTCTCGATTCTCGGCCAGAGCACCGGGCATGTGAGCATATATTGATTTTCCGCCATTCCGTTTGGGATGCTGCCGAAATAAACTTTGCAACTGGTCTGAATCTGAATCGGAATCAGTCTCTTTTCGAACGCGAAACCGAAAGCGGAAAGGAAAGGTGCCGGGTGAAAATGAAATAAATAGAAGGGAACCAAAACGCCGCGGACTAAGAATTCATAAAATTATACATACCGCACCGCAGCGATTTTGAAAACATTCGGATTGTGTGCTTCAATTTGCTGGTGGTCCGTCCGAATCGGCACGAAAAGCTGCGAGATTTGGTCTAAAATTAGCGACCGGTGTGTTTTGGTAGGGTGTGTTGTATTGGTGGTTAGGGGCTCCCAGTGAACTCCGGCCCCTCCGAACCCCAGCCCCAGCGGCCCACTTGGGATATATAGCCCCGAAAGTGTTTACCCATAAATCGGCCGAGATGCCCCCTGCATCCAATACGATCGTGCTGAAGAGCCTCTCGGTTCTGCTGGGCCTGTTCTTCATCTTCGTGGGCACCCTCAAGCTGACGCCGCACATCAGCAAGGATCTGTACAAGGACCTGGTATGTGTTCCTGGAAAATCGATACAGCCGGAGTTTTGCCGGTCACAAGGCGTGCAGCCTATCGATTTTTCTCACTTCTATCCCATTTAACTTGCAGTTTTAAATTCATGTTTTCCCTAAATGGAACGCTCTTATGTAAATGGTTGCAGAAAGCATTTTAGGAAAAGTCTCATAATAGATCTAGAACGGCTTTCGGAAATATGACTGACTAATGGGCATTGAACTCGACCCCATCAATGCCAATCGCTGACACTCAAACGTCGCGAGACGCTATGATCTTCAAAGATATTTCAGGAAAAATAGATGCTTTATAAGCGAAATAGTAAAAAAAAAGATCACGTGAAAGTATTCCACAAATTTTGAATTTTTATGATTCGGGAAACTCTTAATTTTTAGATAAGTATGAAATATACTTTTTAATTTTTCAAATAGATTGTGATTCATTTAAAGACCCACACAAATTTACCACATTTTCAAAAACAAACCTATATTTACAATTCTAAAGAATTGGGAAACCTTGAAAATTTGGCCAGCTAATTATTAATCACCTTGTTTGTAAATTGTTTTAAAAACCTCCAAACAAATAGGAAACATGCGTGTGGAACTTGAAAAAGCTAAAGATTTGTAGAACAGCTGTTTGTGGGAATTTGTTGTTTACTTTTTGTAAAAACAACGCCCAAAGATTTCGTTTTCATTGCTATAAAAATATTTCGCATAGCAATGTAAACAATTTCTCAAAAGAAAACCACCATGACGTATGCTTTTCAATCAATTCAGGGTGTGCAAATGTATTTTATATATAAGGCGATTCGACAGAATACTCAATAAAGTGTATAATTGAAAATATTAAAATAATATAGTAGCAATATTATGTATATATAAATCATTATACATATATGTGCACAATCGATTCAGTGTATGTTTTCAAATTGCCATTGCATTCGTTACGCGCCATTTTACTTTCAAAAATCACATGTTTTCAATTTTTTTTTTTAAATTTCGAAATATTCGTTTTGTTTGCTGTGCTCCCAGTGGTGTAATTGTAATTGTAATTTTAATTACCTTCGCATTACCACAAACACTTGGGGCCAACGATGCCAACAAAAACAGAGAGATCCACAAGCAAATGTGACAACAAGAAAGCTTGCTTCCATTTAAAAATAAACGGGCTGCACTGCCTTCCGCTGGGCGGAGCAAATTCCTTTGGGTAGTGTTTCTGGGCAAGATTAATTATATCCCCGTGCCGCAGCGAAGTCATATTCAATTTCCTTTCCTCTCGATTGCAGCGCACAGAGTACGTCAAGTATGCCAAAGTATTTCCGCTCACCGCCCTCTTCGGAGTGAAGATCCCCTCGAAGTGGTACCGGCGCACCGTTGGCATCCTGGAGATCGTCTGCGGCCTGGCCATGGCTCTGATTCCCTATCGTAAGTGAAAGAAACATTAATATGATATATCAAAGTAATAAACTCCATATTTACCCCTAGATAAGGTCAAGAATGCGGCCAATGTCACGCTGCTGGTGCTGATGCTGCTGGGCATCTACCAGCACTGGATGGTAAGTGATCCCTTCGAGCGCTCCGGACCGGCGCTGGTGTTCACCTTTATGCTGGGCGGTCGCCTGGTGGTCTGGTACCAGACCGCCCGCCTTCAGGACGAGGCCTCCGCGGCCACCCAGCCTCCGGCGAATGGGGTCAAGCAGGATTAGGCCTGCCCAATCATCACGCATACTCATAGTCATTCACTGATCCAGCTTTGTTTTAGCACCTTAGATTGGCGCGCCCTGTCTTTGGGTCACAAATTCATTCACCCATCATTCTAGCAAATCGAAATTCATGTTTTCACTTTGGTGCCAAATAATTATCGTATACAAAACAAAAAAAAACAAAACTATTTAATGTAATGGCGAGAGATATTAACTAAAACTGTAGAGCCGCGGCATAAAGACACGACCAGAAGCAACCAAATTATAATCAAATCCTCTTCGTAACGGGCACTTAGTCGAAACCATCTAAATTACGACTTTTAGAAACAATTTTAATAAATTTGAACAACTCATACATATTTAAAGTTAATTATCCAACGTCAGTCAATCTGAATGTTCCTTTACTTTCGTTTAGCAGCGCGTGTTAAGCGGAGATTATTGGGTATACTGGTGCTCTAAGCTGTAACTGTGCCTAGGATGTGATGCCTAAATACATATCGTGTGGGCTCCCTACTCGGATCCAGTGCTCAGCAACTTTAGGGCCTTCTGCAGGTTCTCGATGGCCGTGTTTACGTCGTCATAGTTGAGGGCACTTCCGGCGTACTTGCAATACTTCTGGGCGGCAATCATTTGGTCGGGAGTGATATGCACTCCCGCCACAGGCACAATGGGCTGGTAGATGGTGGCCGCCGTGGCCGGGTGGGGCTGAGCCGTGGGCACGTAGGGCACAAAGCCACCTGGCTTCTCTTCGTCCACCGGTGGACTGGGCAATTTGTTCGGATTGTTAAGCACCTCCTCGGCGGTGGGAGGGACCACGCTGGATGAGGGAGCTGGCGGTTGAGGCTCTGCCTCTGGCTCCGGTTGGTAGGGGGCAGGAGCGGGAGCTGGAGCAGCTCCTCCCGCTGCCTCCTCGGGCGATGTGTCTGCCGAGGCGTTCGCATTCTCTCCCTCGAGCTCCGCCTCATCATCGTCATCTGGCAAGGGACCGGGAATCGGTGTCTCTCCGTTCTTCAGGCAATTGTGAATGTAGGCGGCCTTCCATTTGGCGTACTTCCTGTTGTGCAGCGCCTCCTCGCTCAGCTCCCCGAAGGTTTGGAGTATGTCGTACAGCACTCCGCTGGAGTAGAAGGCCTTGACCACGTTTCTGGGGAGGAATCACAAGCGTATGAGTTGCAAAAATCGATTGGGAGGCTTGTAAAGGTGACCCACTTGCCAAAGTTCTCCTCGCGATCCTGCTTATCGGCGTACAGGAAGAGTTTCAGGGCGTAGTTCTCGATGTGAGCCTGGGCAGCCACCTCGTTGGTGAGGGCCTCGTTGTCCGCATACTGCTTCTTCATCTGTTCCAGCCAGTCCATGATACCTGGTTTCAAGGGGAAACCAAAACAAAACACGGATGAGTCATACGAGGGGAATATGCGTATTGGATTTTCACTTACCCAGCAGCAATTTGGTTTCCTCGCCCGTTTGGGTGGAGGCCTTGAGGCCAATCTGGAGTGCACTGTATCCGGGATTACACAAAGAACAATAAGAATGCCGAGGAGCAGGAAAAAACCGATCTATGGGTACTTACTATAATCTCGCCCAGTAGGCTATGACCACATCTCGAGTGTCGTGCTCCTGGGCCAACTTCAGGAAGTGCTGGATGGACTTTAGCGAGGGAGGACAAGGTGGAAACTCCATCGTGGCCGGAAAACTCTTCTAATTTTCAGGACTTGATTGCTATATATGGGTCTGGTTCTGGAAAACACTATGCCGAATTTAATGGAACCCTCGCAGAGTGACCAGCTTACCCGCTTTCCTTATCGATAGATCCGCCTATCGATAGTGGCTGGAACTAGTTAATCAGAGCTAAAGTTAGTACCTATCTACTGGTGTTGGGGGACTCATTTGTTAAACGGCGGCCAAAACGATTGGAGTTCTTAGGTAAACACTGGGAACCGGTTTCGTGGATCGTTATCAATCCTCGGCTATTTGCACTTTGCACTTTGACCTGCATCCCAATCCTACGCACTTGACTCCCTAGGTACAACATGGTTCTCTCGAAGCCCCTGTACTCGCTCTTCGGCACTTATCTGGAGCAGCTCTTCAACCACCCGGTCCGCACCAAGTCCATCACGGCGTAAGTACACTGAACCGCTTATCAAGCGATCCACTTAACACATTGACTGCTCCTCCTTGCAGATGCGTCCTGGCCACCTCGGCGAACGTGACCTCCCAGAGATTGGCGGGGGCCAAGACCCTCAACCAGCATAGTTTCTTTGCCTACGGACTCTTTGGCCTGATCTTCGGAGGCAGTGTTCCGCACTACTTCTACACGACGGTGGAGCGACTCTTCGACCACGACGTGCGCTTTAGGAGGTTCTTCCTGTTCCTGTCCGAGCGACTGGTCTACGCTCCCATCTACCAGGCCCTCTCGCTGTTCTTCCTGTCCCTGTTCGAGGTGAGAACTATAGCTGCATAATCTCTTCATGAGCTCCCAGAATTTTAGCCCCTAATCTCTTCCAGGGCAACTCCCCCGACACAGCGATCAAGAATGTGGAGAAGCTCTACTGGCCCCTGCTGAGGGCCAACTGGCAGTACCTCTCCCTGTTCGTGTACCTTAACTTCGCCTACGTGCCCCCCATGTTCCGGTCCATCAGCATGGCCATCATCTCCTTCATCTGGGTGGTGTATATCGCCCAGAGGCGTCGCCGCTTCCAGGAGAAGCTGGCCGCCGAGAAGGCCGCCAAATAGGCATTCCCGCCCGGACGCGACGACTTTAAACCTTGTGCTGTCTTGGCTTAATATTCCAATTACTGTTTAGATTACGGCTGTACTGCCTTAAGTTCTTTATCTGCCCTGCGTTCCGGCGGATTTCAAAAAGTTCGCGAGTGTGTAAGATAAGCCAAAACTAACTGGAGGGTCGCCTTATCAACCGACTGTTATTAAACCTTAAATTTTGTAAACTTTTCGTACTAAAAATAAACTTATAATTACTGTAGACGCCGGTCATTTAAAATGCTAAGTGCATCTCCCTGAGTTTACCATTTCTTGATACCAGGCAAACAGAAAGCTTAGCAAGCAGGGATCAGCTGATACTTTCAAGAAAATATCATTTTAACGGTTGTTTTTTCAAGATGGCCGCCTTAGCCGTTAGTTAAAAGGGAATATCCAACTAGAGATGATAAAAAGTCGTGTAGTTTGGTTCGTGTCACGACTTTGTACTGAAAGGCACGAAAATTCCCTATACTCGTGCCAAAAAGTACGCACGCACCCATCCCTAGAAAAACCAAAGAAAGAGATAGCTGACCACCTACTACGTTTTCTGTTCGCCTGGTGCTTTGTGTCGAAAATTCTCTTGGTTGTCCGAGAAGTGGATGGCCGAGTAACATGACATTTCGATGACAATTGCACGATTTCTTAATTTCTAGTACCAGGCGAACAGAAAAATTAGCAGGTTGCTAGTTGGCTGAAATCTATTTGCAAGCTACCTACTAAATGTTATGGTGGCCTGGTGATCTGAGTCGTGACAGCAATCTATTTTCCTCCGAAATTCATTGCCGCCGGCACACATTCTCAGCCAAATTGCAGGATTTCCGTATTCAAAGTACCAGGCGAACAGAACCTTTAGCAGGTGACCGCCGATCGAGGTGAATTGCAGTCGATCAGCTGATTCCACAAAGGAACTTCCAAAAACAGCTGTTTTTTAAAATGGCGGCCTGGAAAACCACCGTTAGCGGACGATGACTAACCGAAAGTCACCTGCTGAGGGTTCCTGAGCGCCTGGTGTTCGTCGGAATGAAATGCGGAACCACCAAATTGAAGAAAACACATTTCAGAGAGGCAACAAATAATTTATTTATATTAAAACGCAGCTTATAACTAGCAAATAATCGAGCAAAGGCTTACGAACGAGTATTATTGGCTTAATATCGGGGCTACAGTATAATTTCGCTAGTAAATTCATGGGCAGATGATGACTAACTTAGGGCTACGGAATGCAGTGTAAAACAAGTTAAATGCGCATAACAACTATGTATCTTAGGGACTAGGAGGGTCTGACTAGGATTGATGGGTGACTAGGGCTGATGAGAGTGTTCGAGTGATCCATGTCCCCTCCTCAGGAATCGCCGCACATCTTGCGCAGCGACGCGGTTAACACTCAGAAGGCGGCCATCGAGGGACTCCGGCTGTTGCGCAGGGGCGTGAGGAGGGGCGTGGCGGGACTGCTGGCGCGGCTGAAGCAACTGGAGCAGCAACTGGAGGCCTCCTCGGCCGCCTCCCCCTCCCCGGTGGCTTTGTGGTGATACGGAATCGGTCGCTTGCGAGCACTGTAAGTAAAATCAATATATTAGTAAACGATTTTTGTCCTTGGCTTAGTAACCGAAAAATTTAAACGAATAACTCACCAAACTGAAAATTGTAAGGAACACAAAAGATTTGGCTAAAAATCAAACAAAGGAAATCCTATAAAACCATATAAATCGGTAAAGGTGACAAAGTTTATTTTGCGGCTTGGCTAAATTACGGCAAACAAGGATGACACATAATCGGATAGCTACAAAAATATATTAGAGATTGGTGGATAGTATAAAAATGTCAAATTATAAGTAGTTCCTGAGTCGGCTGAAAGAAATCAAAAATCATTTAGACAAAATCAGGAGTTACGTGTGGTATAAATAAAGTCTGTAATCAATGCAACTCAAGCGGATAATGGATAATAGGAACCAACTAGCGTCTTTTGTTGCGCGGCGATCGACGGCTACAAAATTAAGAAAATAAAACGTGAAGTAAAGGATTAATACTCAAAAAAGAAGTTAAATCAACCAAGGCAGCGCAGGAATCCCCTCTAGCTACCTCGTTATGCGACGTCTGTCCAGAAAGCTGGGCGAGCCGCGACGCCTGGGGATGGAGGGCGACCGGGAGCCGGACTGTGATGATGCGGAGCCGCTGCCGGAGGAGGAGCTGCCCGAGCTGCTGTGCGAGGAGCAGCTGGAGCGGGAGGAGTGCGACCCGGAGCGGGACCTGGAACTGCGCGATCCGCTCCGACTGCTGGATGAGCTGTACCGCCTGGGAGGAGAGATTGGATAATCAGTCTTTATATAACTCCACTGGCAGCTTATAGTTAATACTTACGATCTCGAGCGGCTGCTGGAGTGATGGCGATGATGGCTTCCGCTCGTGCGCCGCTTGCTGCGACTCCGGCTCCTACGCTCCCGACTCCTGCTCCTGCGAGCCGCACTCTCCGCCGCCGCTGCCGCCGCCACGGTGGCCGTGGATACCTTGGAGACGATGGCGTCCACCAGCGAACTGTCCGCGAGCGCCGCGACTAGGGGCTGTGGATCGTGAATTTTGAAGGGTTTTATAACGATTTTCGGTTTCTGTTGGTGCTGATGGTGATGATGATGGTAGCTAATACTATTGGCAGCCACGGCCGCAGCCGCTGCCGCCGCATTGAAGCTAATGGGACCGCCACCACCCCGGACAAGCGGCGGATGACCCAGCAGCGGAGCACCCTGCCCACCCACGCCCACGCCAGCTCCCGTCAGGGACAGGAGTCCCGGATGCCGGGGTCCGTGCCCGAAGAGAGCCGAGTTATAGACCAGGCCACGGGCCAGGTGTTGGGCCTGCTGCTGCTGCAGACTGTGCTGATGGTTCTTGCAGATGTTGTAGTGGGTGGCGGTCAGCAGGGGGCCGTGGTTGAGGCGATTGGTGGTGCGGTTGTAGGTGCCCGGCGTGCCGGCCAGGAAGGGCAGCATCCCCGGATTGCTGCCGCTGTTTCCGCTGCTAGTGCTACTGTTGGGATTCGAATGAGGGACCCCGCCACCACCACATGCATGAGGGTTGTTAGTACTATGTCTACTGTTAGGGTTATTGTTCAGAGTGCGGTTGTGGAAGATGCGCTTCCCCGGCGGATGCTGCGGATGTTGCTGCTGCTGCGGCAGGTGATGCAGGTGCTGTGGAGGCGGCCTGTGGTGTATGTGGATCTTGTGACCCACTGTCGGACTCTTGGCCTCGCCATTCGCCGCCACATGGGGCGTCTTGCAAATGGGCGGTGTGCTGGCGTCCCTTTTCTTGTTGATCGGCTCCTCCACAGACACGGACAGCTCCTGTTCCGGATCCCGCAGCGGCGCCGGCGATTCCTTGCGCTGCTCCAGCGGCAGGATCACCGCCAAGGGCGGAGGGGGCGTGGTCGTTGTCAGTGGATTAATCAAAGCGGTCACATTGTTAGCAACAAGGAATTCGCTTAGCGAGTTACGTTTAGTAGCCGTCACCAGGTCGCTGCCACTTACTTCGCTGCCCTCTTTGGCCGGGTCCTTTTCCATGATCCTGATTTTCTGCTTGGCCTTGGCCGCGATCCCCGACTTTAGCTGCTCCAGCATGCGAAGTTCCTGCTGCTCCTCGCGCTCCCGCCTACTCTGCTGGAATTCCTCCAAAGCGGTGCCATCCACTCCTGTTTCGGCATCGCTTCCGTCGTCGCTTTGTGCCCTTAACCGGACCACTGGTGCAGGTTTCGTGGATGGGGCTTCCCTAGCCTTGGACGGCCGCTTCTTGTCCTGGATAATGTCCTGGTAGCGCTCCGGATGCCGTTCGGCAGGCGAGTATCGCAACTCCGAGGAACTTGAGCGGGAACGACGCCTCGCTGGTTTGGGACTCGGATCAACCAGCTTGTTCTTTGACTTAACTACCTGCGGGGAGTTCGAACGCTCCCGCTTCACACTCCTGCGGCGCTCTTTCTTGGGACTAGCTTCCTTCTTTACCTCTTTCGGCTCTGGTGTCCTACTCCTCTTTTTTGTTTTTTTGGGAGTGGGCTTGGGTGATGGCGTCCGAGAGGCAGACGAACTACTACTAGAGCTATCGGAATCCGAGCTAGAGCTGGAAGCCGCCCTCTGTCGCTTGGTCTGCTCCAGGGCCACCATCACCGACTTTGTGCCCAGAATATCGTTCACTGTGTCTTCGGCGGCCTTGAAGGGATTGAAGGCTGGCGTCGGAACCGTCTTCTTGGGCGGCGCCTCTGGGGAATGGGCTGGCGATTGGGATCGGGAATTGCGGCTTAACTTGGTGTCATCGGTTCGCTTCCTGCTCGCATTGGATGGCGATCGTTGACGACGGTCGTCCTTCTTTTTGGGGCTTCGCTCCTTAGGCGAATTTGTGGGCCGGGATTCCTTGGCTGGGCGATCCCTGGAGAGCTGTCGTTCCTTGGAGCGTTGCCTGTCCTTGGAGCGCTGCCGCTCCTTGGAGCGTTGCCTGTCCTTGGAGCGTTGACGTTCCCTTGATCGTTGCCTTTCCTTGGAGCGTTGCCTTTCTTTGGAGTGTTGCCTTTCCTTGGAGCGTTGCCTTTCCTTTACTCCTTGCCTATCCTTGGATAGCGGCCTTTCTTTTGATCGTTGTCTCTCCTTTGATCGTTGCCTCTCGTTGGACCTCTGCTTTTCCTTTGATCGATCCTTGGACCTGTCTCGCCTTTTGTCCACCGATTGTTTTTTATCCTTGGACCTGTGCCTTTCCGTGGATCTTTGTCTATCCTTGGACCTCTGTCTCTCCTTGGATCGCTGTCTTTCCTTGGATCGTTGTCTATCCTTGCTTCTCTGTCTTTCCTTGGACTTGGATCGCTGTCTTTCTTTGGACCGCTGTCTTTCCTTGGATCTCTGTCTCTCCTTGGATCGCTGTCTTTCCCTAGACCGCAATCTTTCCTTAGAACGCAGTCTTTCCCTCGATCGCTGTCTTTCCTTGGACCTCTGCCTGTCCTTTGAGCGCTCTCGCGGCCTTTCCGGCTCTTTGCGTGGTGGGGTAACCGCAGACCGTTCTCTCGACCTGCGTCGTCGACTGTCTATGGAGGATTCCTGTGGCCTGGCTTTTGTATCCTTGCGACGCTCTCGAGAACGGCTGCGCGTTGTCGCCTTGTCCTGCTGCGAAGTCTTGTCATCGGACTTGGAAGCCTTAACCCCACGCGACTTGTCCGACTTGTTCTCCTTCCGTGATGGAGAGCTGAAATTATACATATTTAAATAATCATCCTTGAACTGCCCAAAATGTCTACTTACTTTGAGCGCTCCGAATCCGTCGAGCTGGCACGGGCGCGTGACTTCTTTTTCAGCTTCTTGTCGCGTTTTTTCTGCATAATAAAAGATTGTGGAGTGTAAGTGGGCCGACTTGGATGCTAGGCGCTCTTGCTAAGAGTCTAACTGTTAGCAGTAATGTCAAACATAGTTAATTCTTTATGGCATGATAGACTTATGAAGTTCGAGTTTGGTGCTTAAAATTTTGCAGCATTTGACTTTCGCAAGCATTCTCTCTAGGACTGGAAACATTTTGGTTTTTTCTGTATTTGTACAAGAGTTTTGATCGGCTATCACTTCGCACTAGGTATCACATGGTTGTTTATTAGTAGCTTATTAAAGAAAACAGTCAAATGAAAGTACTTACAAAACTACAAGAGAGCCATTGAAAGCTATCCTATATCAATGAAGCGCCAAGGGTTTTTTATAAACAAAATATAAATTTCTTTTCGTTTCTTCAATTTACTTAAATTACTGGATTGATTTTTGTTTGAAAAACAATCTACGTGTAACTGAAAATAGTTTTGAATAATTTCGAAAAATGTTGGAAACCAAAACAGATTGAGAGGCCATCCACAATAGGAACTTATGTTATTGGTACACAAAAGGATTGAATGTGGATAGCCCCTTTGTAACAATGAATTTCTTCTAAGCATCTATAGGAATGAAATAAAGTAAATAGTTGAGAGAGAAATCATAAGTTTATACTAGAATGCGTTTGAAGCCTTTTTACCTTTTACAATATTTGTGGGTGATTTTTGGTAATTTTTTTTGTTTACTAATAAAGTTGTATGCTTTAGTATTTATAAGGTAGAGAACGGTTTATATGCAGGATTATAGTTCAGTAATCGGTTATTTTGTCAATCGTTATTTTGAATGTTTCATTTGGTGGAAAAAGAAGTAAATAAGCAAGAGAAGAAATGGCGTATGTTTAATATTTGGTGAACAATTGAAACAACGAAACGAAAAGTCAAACGAGTTATCATCATATACAGGTAATAATATCATATGTAAATATATATAGAGAGAGAGGCAGTACTTCCATTCGGATTTTTTGGTCAGACGTAATAATTAGTTGGTTGTTATTCAAAGGATGAGTCGTACAATAAAGGAATAGAAATATGCATATATGTTACAATATTTGCGGGTGGGAGTGTTGGAGAAAGAGCGTCAGAGCTGGACTCGTTACTGGAGACTTCGGTTAGTTCAATCTCATTCATGGCCTTAAGAGATTTGGACAAAGAATCATGCACCTCGTCCCCGGCCATTGGCTTTCTCTCCGCGCACCTTTCTCCACGTATCGTTAGCTTAAGTTCGACAGCCTCGGGCCCTAGCCCTTGCATACCTTGTCCTTCTTGGCTTTCTTGCGGGCACTCTTCGACTCGCGCCGATCCTCCTCGCTGCTGTCGTCCTCCTCATCGCTATCCTTGTCGCTATCCCGGCCACTCTCGCTGTGCTTGCGCTTACGCGACTTTTTCTTCTTCGACTTACTGCAAGTAGAAGGTTAGATCCCATTAAGAATTAGTGAATCCACAATGTACGTTCATTTGTCAGCTATTCAAAAGTGTCTTTAGGTGCTTGCTACGACACACAGATTGAACAAGGCGCTTTCGGTAGCCCTAGAGCTCCAAAATACTGGTTAGCAGCAATGTATAAATAGGTTTACTTGTGGTTCAGTGCTTTACCTTCATCGAAAACTGCGCAAATTGCTTTGTCTTAACATTATAGAAGGTAATCATAACAATAGAAAGAAAGATGAGAAAGTAATTCGCTTTAAATTTTTGCAACACACAGAGAGACCTCTTAACTTTATCGTTTATTGTATTTTGTATTTTATTTTCTAGTAGATCTTTACTGGTATTTGGTTTTGTATTATTAGTTGGCAATGCAGTTTCTATGGTTTTATAGATTGTAGAATCGAATTATTACTTACCGCCGGGCAGAGTTTGGGGAAATGTGAATGGGCGAATTGTGGGGGAAATATCTGTGATCAGTTATGGTTAGTTTAGGCTTTGTTTGGTTTGGATTGGGTTATGTTTGGTTTGTTTTGTGTGTGTGAAGTGTTGGCTAGTGGAGAACCCATACGTACTTAGATCCCTGATCACTCTACTCACTCTCGCTGCACACGGATTCAAATAAAAGATTGTCTTGGCAAGTGTTAGGATATCGAAAGTATATATATTGCAGAAAGGCATTTGAAACATTTCACTTGATTGGATTGGTTCTTATATTGGTTTGTAGGATAGTGTTAGCTCGGGTAAAACTAAGTGTGAGTCATTTGTACGTGGCTTTTCGCTTCTTTTTACTTTCTTTCTCATATGAGTCCCTTTTGTGGTTTCAAATGCAATGTAAAAGAAGGAGTAGAGACGAAAAACAAAATGTATTAAGCAGTTGATTGATAGTTACATAGTATCTTTGGTTTTTTCGCGCTCTAAGCGCACGTGTTTACAGTTTACTATGTACGATAAGGAAGAAACCAAAAATCATGACTGTAGAGTCCAAACAAAGAGCAAAGAAAACAAACACAGAGCTACGGTTGTCGAGGGATTGCTGTTTCGGATTCCGGCCAGGACTCTTACCTCTCTTTCTTGTGCTTCTTCGACTTTTTCTTCTTGTCCTTCTTGCGCTCAGGACTGGCCGAACTGGAAGAACATATATTAAAGTTAGTACAATTACTGGGGAACTGTTTATATCTTTTTAACGCACCTCTCTCTGGCGCGCTTCTTGCGCTTCTTCTTGTCCGACTTGGAGACATGCTCGCGCTCATCCCCGCTGGCCACTGCATCGCCTCCATCGCGATCGCGTTCCCGCTCCCGTTCGCGGGATGGAGTGCGCACTAGGGCATAGCGCTTCCCGGTCTCCTTGTCCTTGCCTGCTGCTGCGGCAGCTGCCGCCGCCGCGAGGCTCTCGCGCTGGGCGTCCAGTTCCTTTTGCAGAGCCACGCTTTTGGCCAGGTCCTCCTTTGCCTTGCGATCGCTGTCGAAGCTGCTGCCCTCCACGAAGTACTCGGATATGTTAAAGGCCTCGCGCAGCTTTGCGTTCTTCTGCTGCTGAGCCTCAGCTATTTGATGGGTGTCGCGAGCGCTGCAAGCAGAAAATTTATGTATTTTATTAATAAGGGTTGGAAGGAGAAGATAGATAAAACAATTAAAAATTTTCAGATTGCCAAAGTTATATTCCATGGTCAGCACAGATAATGAAAATGACGAGGTTTAAGTTCTATCATTATAAGCTTTATAGACAAGTCGATATACTCTAAAGCAACGGCTTAAAAATATTCAAATTGGGTTTTGTTTAACTGTGTGGCTACCTTGAGGCCATCGCACTGCCGGCTCCCAGCAGTGTCTCCAGCAGGCTGCTCGAGGAGTACTTGAGTAGCTCGAGCAGCACGCTGCCATCGATATTGATTTTGGGCCGTGACGCAGGCAGTTCCTTCTGGATGGAGTGCTCAGCTGTTCGGTGACCCGGCTCGAGTGCCGGCTCCGGGTCTTTCAGCTGGCAGGCGCAAGCGCAATCCGAATGCGACCTCTTGGAGACTGCTGGTCGCCTGGTCTTGTTGGCGCCGCTTGCCAACGCCGGCCGCAAGGGCTTGAACTTCCTGGCCACCGCCGCGTAGTTCCACGTGTGGGCGGTCAAACGGAAGCTCTCGTACTTGGCCAGGTACTCCCGGTTGTCGTGCTGGAAGTATGGTGCCTTGCTCTTCCTGCCCCCGTTTGCGGAGGCAGCGGGAACGGAGGAGAGGCTTTCCCCGGATTGGGGACGGGGACTGGGACTGCTTGGGTTGCTGCCGGGGTTGGTGGTGCTCTTTTCGGTGGCGGTGGTGGTGGCGATTGCGTGACCTGCGCGTTTGCGACGCTTGCGGCGTTTCTTCGGTTTCACCACCTGCACTGTGGTGGCCGCCATCGTTGTTGTGGTCGTGGATGCAGTGGCCAAAGAGGCAGTTGCCGTAGCTCCCACTGCCGCCATAGTCGTGGATGTTGTGGTGTTACTGTAGATCTCCGAGGAAAGCATTGTGGTTTTTATTGTTTTTAAGTTATTGTTCACTTAAATATTTGATTTTGTAAGATGTTCGAGGGGCCTGAATCTTCTTTACAGTTCTTAATTTTTACTTATTTATTTATATATTTTTTTATTATATATAAATCCATGTATGTGGAAGACAGTGGATCTTCTATAAGTTATTGTTTATTTATTAATCCGTTTATAAAGGGATTATTAATTGTTATATTTAACTCGCGGGTTTTAATAGCTCCTCTTTATAATACAAAAATACATTTAAACTTTATACATCCATGTTTTCGGAAGACAGTGGATTTCAATTATAATTAAGATTTGTAATTTAACTTTTTCGGGATGTTCGATTCGCGATTTTATAGATTTTATATTTTGTAAGTGTAAATAAATGTTTTAACCCATGTAATTGGAAGACAGTGGATTTATGCTTTATATAATTACAAAAATAGTTTGTTTATAAGATATTCTGCTATAATTTCATCGATTACGATTGGAAGACGATGGATTAGCATTTATTTGATTTCACTTTGGGCTACATTATGCGAAACCCAAGACTTTTTAATAATTTGTTGTATTCTTATCCTTCTGGAAGACGTTGGATGTTTTAGGAGACATTGGATTTTAAATTTTATTATTATTTGATTAACTCCGATTGCCGCAACTTCGCGCACTTGTCTTCTTCACTTCGCGACTTAGACTAATTAATTACTGACTACGATTGGAAGACTTATTTAGTGATTTGTTGCATTCGTTCGGCTTAGGTATCAAGTGTTGCCTCCGCCGGCCCTGATACCATTTCGATGGGGCCCCACTCTTAGCACTTGCAACAACAACCACTAGAATAGTATACACGACGACGACGACATGAGCGCTTAATCCACGGCTCTGCAGCGGGTTGCAATGCTGATTTAGGGGTGGACAAAGACCAAGGGCTGTCAGTCACCGAATCCACTTCCACCACCACCACCGGCACTGGGGTTCCCTTCAGCGGGTGCATTTGGGTTGCCTCTCCTCCTCGGGCACACTTGAAGGGCTGCCTGGGTGCCGAGCACTCCCTCCCGTTCATTGGGAACACGCTTTTTATTTTGGTTTTCCCTTTTGATTAGTAGGCTTATGGCTGAATTTGATGCTTGGCTTCCAACGGGGCGGTTATTGATTTTTCCAGCGATTTTCCAGCGCTTATCGGTCTTTTCCTCCCGGGTCCCCTGCGGCGGCTCCTCTCCGCCAACTCCATCGCCTGCCTACCGCTGTCCTCGCCAAGGACACTTAGTCGTTCGATTAAAAAGGCGTTAATTGCTTCTAATTTGTATGTACAATTATATATATATAGAGTTGCTATGTAATGATTCCTGAGCGTGTTGGCCAACTTGCTGTGGCTTTGGAAGACTTGAAGTGACTGAAAGCAGAGCGCATCCCGGAAAATCTTTGCAGCAGCTTTTTCTCTACTTCTCGTCGATTGTGATTGGCCCCCGAATCCAAAATGGGGTGGCAAACTGGGCGCTGCGGCGGCGCATGTGTCTCCTTGTACGTGGTTTACAGCTGTCGTGTGCTGGCCGAGATTTTGCCAGGCCTTCGTTTTGTTTAACCGTTTATTGATTTGTCCACTGGGCGCACGTTTTATTCTAAATTACATAAGCCTTTCAAAAAGGGTTCTACTTACGCTACGCGTCCAAATTCATCCTTTGCCAGATCTGTTTTGCCCTGTCCCATCAACTTCTGGCGGAAGGAGTCCACCTGCGTCTTGATTTCCTCCGGTGTGCGTCTGTGAAGTAGGAATATAGGATAGATAAGATATTTTGCAAGGGTTTAAACTTTAAGCGTCCTTAATTGTACCTTTTAGACTAGCTTAATTAGTTTAATAAGGCCTAAATGGGCGGTTTATAACTATCTAGACAGTGAATTTAGCTAGGTGGTGCTCGGATTTTTTGTCCGCCTGCCCGGACATGCGGATGTCTTCCACTCAAAATAATCTCTACAACTGAAATGCACTTTTTTCACCACCAGCCGAGAGTCCGGGCCACCGGAAGAGTGCTCACATGTGACGCACCAAGGGGGTGGAGGTCGCCCTCGCCCTGCCCGCTCAGGGGTGGCTCGCCACCGGGATGGGGGTTGTTCTACGCTCATTTCGGCGCGTGTGCGTCCGCTCTCTTGCAGGAAAGAGTAGCTACCAGGCGCCAATGTAAACATAAACAGAGGAGGAAGCAACAGACGCCAACCGGCGTTATATAATCCGCGGATTGCCATTACACATTGCCATGTAATTGGCCATATTCGCCCCCCATCTTGCATTTTGCTCACCCCTGCTTCTCGAGAATCTCCTCGAATTCCAGGCACTTGACTTCGATCTTGCGCTTGCGGTCGTGGTCCAGGATCTCCTTGTTGGGCGGCCTGTTTAGCTGGGCGTCCAGCTTCTTGGTGTCGTCCTCGGCGCGGTAGTCCTTGTCCTTCTTCCCGGGACGCACACACGCCCAGTTTCGCTGCACGTGTCCGTTTGTGCCGGAGCCACGGGGCGTGGTCAGTCCAATGCCGTTGTACATGCTGATTGATGTCCTGCGGGGTCTCCCTTAAACCATCAACGACTCCCGGCGGCCACTGAATGCTCCACCAACGCTGCGGTTCGCAAAGGAAAAATCGATTTCAGTTGCAGTGCGTGAAAAATTGGGTTGGTGGTGGCTTTGCGTGGTTGCTCACCTGTGTTTTCGATCCTGCAGCGCTGCGCTGGGGATTTATTCAGTGTATTTCCGTAGTTTCGACCACTTTTTTGCCAAAATATGCGAAATATGCAAAAGAATGCCGCCTGAATGTGACCGCGGAATTATTATATCGATTACACCTTACGGCTTGAAGAAATATACTAAACTATATATAATATACCGAAAGTATGTCAAATGGTCACGCTATTTTGGGAGTGTGTATCCGCTATGCATGGTGGGTGTCTCAGCTTTGTCATCTGTGGTATTTTATAAAACTTCAGCAACGGTCATACTGCTGGTCTAGCCAAACGTAAACAAATATATTTACTTTCATTTAATAAGGGAATTGTAATCTATTACTAAGCTATAAACATGAGTGATGTAGAGGAACCCAAATCTAAAGCACCCTCAAAGGTTTTCTTCAAGAAGTCAGGACGAAAAAACCTGAGACAACGTAGAAATTCGGATGAAGAAGAAAAGGAGGAACAGTAAGTGCTTAAAATATTACAATTTAAGCCCATTAAAATGTGCATTCCTTTTTAGACTCACCCTTGATGAGATTAAGGAGCGACAGCGCCTAAGACAGCGGCCCAATGGCGTCAGCTTAGTAGGTCTAGCGCTGGGCAAGAAGATCGCTCCCGAGGAGGAGCTGGCCATCAAGGATCCCTTCAACGTGAAGACTGGCGGCCTGGTCAACATGCAGCAGCTGAAATCCGGCAAGATGAAGGAGGCGGACGACGCCTACGACGTGGGCATTGGCACCCAGTTCTCGGCGGAGACGAACAAGCGGGATGAGGACGAGGAGATGATGAAGTACATCGAGCAGGAGCTGCAGAAGCGCAAGGGCGGCGGCACAGAAGCCGCAGCAGAGGACGATGGTGATGTGAACAAATACCTGACGCCCGAGGACGCCGCTCTGTACGCCCTGCCCGACCATCTCAGGCAGTCGTCCTCCCACAGATCCGAGGAGATGCTGTCCAATCAGATGCTTAATGGTATCCCGGAGGTGGACCTGGGCATTGTGGCCAAGATCCGCAACATCGAGGCCACCGAGGATGCCAAGCAAAAGCTTCTGCAGGACGCCAAAAACAAGAAGGACGGACCCTCGCAGTTTGTGCCCACCAATATGGCGGTGAACTTCATGCAGCACAATCGATGTGGGTCTATGCAATGTATCGTTATTTATGTAGATTCACTAACGTTTGTCACTTCCAGTCAATATCGAGGATAACAGCGATCAAAGGAGACGCAAACGGGAGGAGAGGGAAGGCAACAAGTCGGCCCAGCATCAAACTAATCCCAATGGAGTCAAACGGGCCACAGATGACTACCACTATGACAAGTTTAGGAAGCAATTTCGCAGATATTAAAAGTGCCAGCAATAAAAAGTACAAATATTTTCTTTTAGGAGCAATAATCTTTTATTCTTCAATTCACTTAAACATACTTTGAAATTATATCCATTCATCGGGCCACTTCTGTAAAATAAAACAAACAGGCGATTAGTTATGGTTAAAAAATATACGCAAATCAGTTATGGGTTTTGTGATCAGTGGGAGACAAAATTAATTTCAAAGCAACGCATGACTGAAGCTCAATGAGATTCCTACTCAAAATATCATCAGAACGAACTAGGGTTTAATTTACGTATTACTAAAATGATACACACCTTAGAAGAAGTAAGCCAAGGGTCCACATAAGCTTTGGAACAGCTGAAATAGATTACATTTTTTCATTAGTTCAAAATATTAAAACGTAGCTTTCTCTTATTAAATTGTTTTATCAGTTAGAGATTAAAATTGATTTCATAGCAACGCATGACTGAAGCTCAATGAGATTCCTACTCGATATATCATCAGAGAAAACACAATTATAATCTACCAGTTTCTACAACTTATACACACCTTAAAAGAAGGCCAACATCCCGATACATTTTGGAACATCTGAAATAAATCAAAAAGGTATTGATTAGATAAGATTTTAAAATCATTCCTTGGTTGCTTAAAATGTTTTTTATCAGTGAGAGATTAAATTTGATTTCATGGTTATTTCAATGAGATTCCTACTCAAAATATCATCACCTACTTTATTTTCATAAGCTAAAATAATAATTACCTTTTCAATCAGCAAGTTTAACTAATCGTTGCTTGAAGATATAACCTGCGAATAAATAAAACAATGTTATCAACTAGGGTAATATATAGCAATCATCAAAACTCACCTTAGTTAATGATGTGGTCCATTCTGGAAGACAAAAACTGAAAATGATATAAAGCCCGCCCAAATTGAAAAACCACACTTAGTTTTTGAGTGGTTTTATTATACCCAGACAACTTTGAAACGTTCATCCTCGCTCTACCGTGTCAGCTTAGCAATATTTGTTTATAGAAAAGACTCTACATGTAAAATGTAGACCGCGATGATCATTCCACACTTTACCGCAGATTGCACCGCTTATATGATGCCGATCTTGTTGGCAATGTCCAGGGCATCGTAGTCGCGCGCCAGGCGCACATAGGCCTTCTTCTGGCCATCGGGGCGGATGAGCACGTTGACCTTGGCCACCTTGATGTCGTAGAGCTTGCGCACTGCGGCACGCACGTGGTTCTTGTTGGCGCGCAGGTGTGTGAGGAAGACCAGGGTGTTGTTGTCCTCGATCTTCTTCATGGCCGCCTCGGTGGTCAGAGGGTACTTGATGATGTTGTAGGCGTCCATGCGGTTCCTGGTGGGCACCGACTTCCTGGGGTACTTGGGACTCCTGGGCAGCTTCAGGGTGGTGGGCCTACGGAAGTGCACGTTGGTGCGGATCTTGCGGGCGCGGGTGCCGAAGGCGCCCTTGATGATCTAATGGATTGGGAAAAGAAGGGTTAATCAGAGACTCCAGGGAATCAGTAACCAAACTCCATACCTTCTTCTGGACTTTCTTGGCGTTCAGCAGAGCCACAGCCTTGGCCTTGGCGGTTCCCTTGGCGGGCTTGGTGCCGGGCTTCACACCCTTCTTGGCCTTGGCGGCCGCACGAGCCTTGGCGGAGAGCTTGGCCAGCACGGACTGGGGCTTCTTGCCGGCGAGGATCTTCTTCTTGGCATCCTTGCCCTTGGCCTTGGTGGCCACGGTCTTCTTCACGGCCGTGGGCTTCTTAGCAGCACCAGCGGCAGCTGGCTTCTTGGCAGCGGCAGAAGCGGGCTTCTTGGCCGCCGGAGCCGCAGCCTTCTTGGGAGCAGCGGCCGCTGGCTTGGCGGCAGCCGGAGCAGCCTCCTTCTTGCCGGCAGCGGGAGCCGCAGCAGACTTCTTCTGCTCTGGCTTCTTGTCGCCAGGCTTGGCTGTAAAAGAGGAGCGAATAGTCCAAGTCCAGATTAGTAAACATGTTCCGCGCACAAAGTTAGGTTAGGCCTGATCGATCAGCAAGGCAATGGGACGCTTCTCCACTTGACTAGCCCCAATAAAATCGGGGATTTGCTTTACATTTAACACTCTTTCAGGTTACTTTGCCATTTGAGACACACACTTAAGCATTCCCACGCAGACACACCGCACGTGGCGAAACTTTGAGTCGTCTGTTTAAACACATTTCTTCCTTAAAATCGCGATATTCCGCACAATTTTCGTTTCCCACTTGTAGTCCCTGCTTTCGCCTTGCTTTTGCTGATCAATTCACGCATTTTTCGCTTATTTTTTAATGAAAAACCCTTACCGGATTTCTCGGTTGGCTTTTTGGGTGGCATTTCTACGAGAAAAAGAAATGAAAAGGAAAACTGAGGGGCAGTTGTCAAAAAGCGGAAGCCCGATTTGACAGAAGGGTGGCCAGATCGCTGTAATTTCGCGCCTTACAGCTCGCTGTTGCTGGGTTTAACAGCACTGCTTAGCCATTTAACAGGGGTGACAGCGTTGTTATCTTGACGTTGTGCGAACGCAACACAGCTGGAAAAATGTATGGCAACGCTTTTGGTTGACAATTAAAAACGGTTACTTTTTGAAATATATTTTAAAATTCTGGCTTAGATAAACAAAACTGTTCAAAAAAAGGTGAAGAATTTTAAAATGTAAAATTTCATTTATTAGGTAATATTAAAATGTTTTATTCAACGACTTAATTTAATCTTAGAATACAGTAAGACATGCAGGCTAGCAAGCACAGCCACTCTTTTGAGGAGAAAAGCGACCACTAAAAAAGTTTCGTAAATCTGAAAAAAACTCTTGACAAGAGTTGCATATATAAATTGCTTTAAATAACCTTACCAAAAGTTTGCGATTTAACTGATGACGGATGAGCCTGTTCTTGTGGCTTACTTTTATTTGACTTAATGTCCTGCTTAACAGCTTCTTCAAAAGCCAGGCCAGCAATTCTTTGAAAGAATTCCGTGACCTTAAAACCAGATCGCGCTGAAACCGACCAATATTCCGCCTGAAGTTCGGCAGCTGCCACGCCCGCCAATCGCTCCATTCGCACAAACTCCTCCTTTGTCTTAAAAGAACTACAATTACCATTTAAATTCTTTGTGAACATACCACTTACCAAGAGATCTGCTTTTGTGCCCACTAAAAAGACCAAGGGTCTAGAGCTTGTATTGTAGTTGAGTGCGCTATTGAGCCACTTTTTAGCCGATTCCAGGGAATCCCGCTTGGACATATCATAGGTAACCACTATCACTGTAGTTTAAAGGGATATACATATTTATCGCTATTAAATTTAACGTAAACTAAGACTTACCACTTGCATTGCGATAATAGGCTCCTGCTATGCATTTAAAACGCTCCTGGCCAGCTGTGTCCCACCTGAAAATATACCATATTTACAAACAGAACTGATACTATTCCTTAGAGATCTGAACCCACATTTCTAGACTGTAATTGTGACCCAGAATACTGAAATTCTCCAGCTCAAAGTCCACGCCAATGGTGGCTTTGTAATTCGACTGGAATTTGTCGTAGCAAAACCTGAAGAAAAAAGGGTAAGTTAAAAAAATTTAATTAAATTTGTAGTTCCATACTAACCGATTGACAATGGCCGTCTTGCCCACCGAGCAATCGCCCACGAAGATGACCTTGCAGGGTCGGAACTTGGGCTTACGTGGCGTCTCCAGGTGATAGCGCACCTGGGGGGCGAAGTCCCGTTCCCGACTGAGCGGAGTCTGGGCGGGACTGTAGGCCGGGGGCAGGTGCCTCAGGTGGGTGCGAGGATCGTGCATGACCACCGTGGGCGGATTGGGCAACAGCAGGTTCTGCCGCAGTTGATGAGGCATGGCGAACGTCTATATCTCAACTAAATGAGCTCTAAAACTGGGTGAGCCAGCCACGTCGTCATAGCAAACCACAAACTCTGTCGGTGGCTTGAACTTGGTGGCTATCATATGCTCAAGGTGCCGGTGGCTACCTTATACCCCGGGCAGTGTTTTGCATTGTAAATGCAGGTGATTGATAAGAAATGGTTGGGTGTGCGTTAGTTCCGATAGGAAAAAGGCCTCAAGGTGTCAGCCTAGCTGAGCTTTAATGTTAGAGTGGCTTTGCGGCCATATAATGTTAGCAGTTGTGGCTACAATAGTGGTTGAACAAATAGTTAAGTCTTCAAAAGAAAGCACTTCCTTTATTTTCTTTCCATATGTATTTCGAATATTTACCATCTCTATAATATACTGATCAAGCTCTAGTTTGCTTCCTTCCCCCGGGATAGCCAAAGTATCCCACGCTCTTCACCTGCTTGCGGAGATCGGGCTGCATAGACAGGGCCTTGAAGATGGCCCTTTTGAGCTGCTTGTACTGAAAGTGTGGCGGGAAGGGCATGTCCTCGAAGGACAGCATCAGCAGGTTGCCGGCCTCATTTCCCACGGCCAGCGAACGACCGCAGTGGGTGAACCTGAAAATCACATCCAAATGATCAAGTCACATAAAAGGATCCTGAGTCCAAACCCACTTGAAGGTGGTGTAAAAGATATCTGCATCGATCACGGTGGAGGACACTGGCTTCATGGTGCTGTTGCGCAGATCCCAGATGTCCACTGTGCTGCGACTCAGGGAAACCAGGATGGTGGAGTGAGTGCGGCTCCAGCGGGCGCAGTGAACCGGAGACAGGTGATGTTGGAGGGTGACAATTGGCAGTAGGATGCCAGCCAACCAAATGCGAATGCACCTGGAAGGAATACCTTAAACAAAACCCCATTGAAATCACTGTAACCCTCACCAATCACTGCCGCAGGTGAGGTACAGCCTTGGAGACCATGGGGAGAACTCCATGCAGGCAGCCGGTCCATCGTGCACCTGTCTCAGTTCCAGATGCTGCAGCGGGTAGTTCGTGGAGCACTTGTACAGGGTTCCCTCGTCGGTAAGAACATAGTATATATCCGCCTGCACGGGATCAAGGACTATCTCCAGACATTGCGGATGCCTGTTGGCCAGCAGGGAAGCCGCAGGAGGATGTCGCTCGATGGGAATCCCCTCCAGCTCGCCCTCCGCCCGCTGCAAACGCTGCTGCTCGAATCCCAGCATGTTGGGACTGTTAATTAGACGGTATTTAGTCACCGCTCCCGCCTGGGAGGTGGCCAAAAAGGGTGTGATATGGGGATTCCTAGATCCCACATCTCCCTCGAAATAAATCCACTTGATAGCCGTAACTGGCTCGAAATGCGGCGAGGATGAGCGTTGCGATATGGCTAGTGGAGGGAGATCCTGACTGGAAATGTCCCTCACCTCAACACCTCCATTATGGAGTCCTATGGCCAATAGTTGAGGTTGGGTGGGTGAAAACTCCACGGTGACCACGGGCACCTGGTAGTTGTAACGCCTTTCCGGGTTCACCGGGTTCTTGATGTTCCACACATAGACCCATCCGCATCTGGGCAACTTGCTGACCTTGCCATGGCTGTAGACCCCGTAGGCCACGGCCATTATGTCACCATTACTGGGACAAAAGCTCACATCGCTCACTGCCTGGTGAACCTTGCGATTGGAAGAGGGTGGACTCAGTCTCCACAACAGTCCCAATCGGTACTTGAACTTCACATCCTCGGCCAGAGGATCTGGCAGGGCCATGTTCCTATACCTTCTCTGCTGGGGCTCGAAGACATTGCTGGCCAGGATGCGCATGGTCAGCATGAGAGCGAGTCGAAACCCAGGCAGACTGTTGATCGCCACAAACTGATCCACTCCGCCCACGTGATAGGTGGTTATCTCCATCTTCTTCTCGCCCTGCACCTGGACACTCGTGGTGGACTTCTCCAGATCCGTGTAGGTGTCGTACATCTCAAAGTTGGAGACATAGGAACCCATCTGGGCGGTGGTCAGCCGTTCGGTGTTCACTAATCTCGATTTCATAAGCGCCGTCATGGTTTGGGTGTCTGCATCCACGGTTCTTCTGGTCTTGTCCGTTCCCGAGAGCAGCTCGTCGTACTTCCGGTTGTCCTCCATCACCAGACGACCCTCCTCCGTGTCCGCCAAGGCGGTCATGCTGCGTCTTTCGAAGAGCACCATAATGGGAGTCTTTCGGAGGAGCACCTTGATAAAGGGCGTGGCTGGGGGACGAGCGGAGGCGGCGGAACGGGCGGAGGGAGCAGGCTCCTTCAAGTAATCAGGTTCCTCCAAAGTGGGTGACATGGGTTTGTCCAGCTGCAGCTTGTAGAGATTGATCTGGGGGTATAGGTTATAAGTTGAGATATATTTTATGGATAGTTGGGAACCCACCCCCATGGCTATATCATCCAGAGAAGCCCTCATCACACATTTTGTACGATACTCTGGGGTTCGTAGCTTCTGCAGCTGCTGCTGCTCCGTTTCAGGAGCCCTCATCAGCGGATGCTCCTTGATCATCTTGCTCAGCTGCTCGAAGTCCGCAGTGCGGTAATCCTTCCTCAAGGGTCGGGACATTTTTCTCAGATTAATTAGAAAATAGCGCGTGCCGGCGTTTCCTTAACTTGTTTACTGCGAGTGCAGACATGGCAACACAATAATAATATATGGGTGCTATAACTACGGGGGCTTCAAGTTACAACATGGCATATTCCATTAGCGGTCTTACACATGGCTGCTCTCCTTGCATCCATAAATATTTATAACACATATATTAAAACACGCAACCAAAATGAATAATAGATGCAAAGTCGGTGTGACTATGGTGAGCATACTATACCATTGATTTATTGGGTTTAAAATAGCTTAAAATGTATGTTAAATTTTTAAACTTTTCATGTCAAATATTCAGAGCATTTTCTAATGTGAAAGCTTCAACAAAGAAAAAAACAAATCATCGGTGGCTTGAGCTGTGACCTGTCACAAGAAAATCCCCGAAGCGGAGAAAGGAAAAACAACGAGCGACTGCCAACTACAATCTACAAACTAGCAACAAATGAAATTTGTATTCGTATTCCAATTAGACGCGTACCAAAAGCAATTTGCCGGTGCGATGGAGGCAGTAGAAGAAATAGTAAATAGTAAATAGTAAAGGGTCTTTAATTCCGCCACATAGCCTGACAATGGCCCAAAGATGAGCCGCGGAGGAAGAAGCACTTGGCCATATGTGTACGGTTGTTAGTGGTAAGCCGTACACAGAACGAAAACTGGATCAGTTTGGTAATAATATTTTAGGCTACATATTTAACGAATTTCAGAATGTTAGATACCATCCTTGACTTAGATGCTCCGATACAAACTAAATTCGGGATCAGATAAGGATATATGTTAACCAAGAAATGTAATGGTCACCATCCACACCAAAGATTAAATAATAAATTTATCAGCTTTCTAATTTAGTTCTCTAGTCACCAAAATTTACAAAAAAAATTTCAAAATGTTCCAAAAATGTTTTAAACATGTATAGAGTAGTTTTCAGTACTTCATATTCTCAGACATTCTTAAATTCTAGAAATTTGATAAGAAATTAGTATCAACAATTTCAATGAATGAAATTTTTTAGTGTTATAAATTGTGTTCTGTGCAGATATAGAAGTCGAAAAGAAGTTGTTTATGTTAATTTGGCTTTATGCTTCGCTACGCTGATTCGCTTAATGAACAGGCAGCAAAGTAGAGGAGGATAAAGAGGAGGAGGAGGGCCAAAGTGAGGAGATGGCCAAGTGCAATATGTCAAATTGAGGGGGCAACTGGGCAAATGATGGCCAGAAAGAACAAGTTATGTTGGCATGGGCCAAAAGCGGGAACCGTCAACGCATCAAAGCGTTAAGCAATTAATGTGCAGGCAGCGAAAAGAGTTAGGACCTAAGATATATATTCAAGAAAGGCTAAAAACAATAGCCGGCTGTCTTGCAGGTTGCGTGCATTTTGAACTCTGCACGAGCCAACGATCATTATTGTTATTGCTGGGTTGTTGGTTGGTTGGTTAATGTTGTTGTGGTCGCTGTTACACATTTTGGAGCAGTGGAGCAACAAAAGCTACTACATACAGTCAGCGAAATTCACTGAACCGCCACCAACGCAACGCCAACTGCGACGGCGACTTCGGCTGCGACTGCGCAGTCGAACACTGAATTAACTTGTCCATCTTCCATGGGCCAAAAAAAAGAAAAAATTAAAAACAATTTACCGAAGACGTGCGAAAAATGAATCAAGCAAAATAATAGATTAAATCATAATTTAAAAGCGATCACCAGGGGTTTAAAGCGCCTATAGAGGTGCTTAAAAGTATGCAACAAAATATTTCGAACTCGAATTTTAGATGAGCCTCTTTCGAAGTAGTACCATTGTTGTTTCGCTGCATACTTTTGGACACTTCTGCAATGGTTCTAAAAGCCCTAGGTTTTTAATTTTAATACATACAAATATTTTAAGCTCGATGTAACAGTTGGCAATATTTTAAATTAAATTAGTTATTTTTACCATTTTTTTTTACATTTTAAGAATACGATGATTATTAAAGAGTTGTAGATTAAGGTGAACTGCTTCACATCACAATCACATAAAAACAGATTACCCAAAGCCAAAGTACTTTACACTGCATTACAAGATTAAGCCACAATATGTAAACCCCTCTTTATAATAACAACTTAATTGACTTGTCACCTTGTAAGCAAGCAAAAAAACTTTTAATTAATCTAGTTTTTTTACAAAGCTCACCGAGTGTTTGTGAAATAATTAATATTTTTGTCGCCCCGTAATTCTAAGCAGCATTTGACAGGTTTGGAGCCTGTTCAAAACCGACTTAAAACCTCAACCGGGAAAATAAAACGCTCGTTTTTTACGAACATCTAATTGTGTCCACACCCTGGAAACCCATAAAACCCTCGCTGTTTATCTCGATCTTGCATACGCTTCTTCACATGCCCATATGCGTTATATGTCGCTCGGTCCCATTCATATCGGTTCGGTTTTTACACCTGTTTTATGTCCCCACTGGCCCCAATGTGCGCTACCCAGACGCCGACTTCGACTTGGACTGAGCCGCCGACTGAGGCGACTGCGACGCCCCGACTTTTGGTGTAACATATTTTCTTTTTCGTTTTTATTGTGGCACGGAGCGTGGAAGACTAAGAAAAAAAGAAGCGGCGGAGCGGCAGCGCTTAAGCCGAGCTCGGAGATTTTTTTCGTAACAGAAAAGCGACTTTTTATTCGTTAATTAACCGTCGAGCGGGCCAGAAGTCCGAGTTCCTCAGCTCTCGAGGAAGGGGCGTGAAAAGCGCTTAACGGAAGTGCAGAAAAGTAAACTGAAAACCGGGTAGCTAATTGAGCACAGCTTGCGCTCGTGTGACACCTGACACTCCACTCCACTCCACTCCACTCCAGAGAACCCCTGGCAAAAACAAATCGAAATCGCTCCATATAACACCATAACTTTCATCGCAAGCCGGGTGTATTATGTCTCAATTTGTCGTGCTGCAGTTGTGCTTCAACCACGTTACCTTCACCATCGTTTGGACTTTGTGTCGCGTGTGCTAAAATATTAGACCCAAAAGTCTATAATCCCGGGAACTTGGTGCCCCAATGAGTGATTCGAAATTTATGCTAATCCGTGGTGTCAAACGTTAACAGCATTTCGCAATAGGCCCACACCCGCATAACCTCAAACGTCTGCTCACATAACGAAACCAATCGGACAGATCTTATCAGCCCCCAAAAAAATGTTGTTTTGGAAGAAGCGTCTCCAGCGATCGAGCAGCTCCTCAAGCAGTAAGTCCAAGTATCTCACATAAGGCCTGGGATTGGGCAAGAAGAAATATGATTTTGCCGGGCAGGTGAATTTCATTTCGAATATTTCGTCTCTTCGTCTCATCTGCATAATTTGCATCTTAAAATTATTATTATTTCGAATACCGATTCGGTTTTAGTCTTGTTGTGACCACCGCCGACTGGTTTTATTGATTTTATTTTGGTGATTCCCTTGCCCAAGATCGCGAGCAAGCCGAAGATCATAAATAACCCCAGCTGGGTTTATCACCCACAAAAGAGTTGGACAAATACAAATGAGAGCGAGAGCCCCGCGGGACATGAATAATAGCTCATATCTCATTATCGAAATTCTCACCGAGGTGTTCCCTTTGTGAATGATGCTTGCCAAAAGATTTATGAATGAATTTAATGTGTTTAGCATAATTATTCAGATCAGCGCAGATAATATCTCACTAAGGTGGGGACTTTGGGTTAGGGAATGGGCATGTGTGACGGAGAGTATAATGCCTTGAAAGATTTGACAGATTCACGATAAGTTGGATAAAGATTTGAAAGGGCTTTGGACGTCTTCAGTAAAAACTATTTTTTAATAACTTGTTTTCCTTTAAACTTTTTTAATTCCAAATACAACTGGTAATTTCAGTTAATAACAACAATATATTTTGCTTGGGTTGCTTGGGTGTTTATAAGTAAGACCTATCCATATCCATTGTTCCCGTACTCTGCTGCTTATGTTTCTCACATCTTCTGAAAACCCAAAACCCGCAGTCAGGTGTCATAACACATTTGTCCCGATGGTCAACAAGGTGTAACCGAGAGCCAGCATCTCCATCTTCAACCTAACCCAAGGAATTCTGATCCCCCCTGATCTGAACTTAACCCTTTTCTCCTCCCCACATTTTTGTGGTTGCGCCTGCGCTTCTCTAGTTGTGGTTCTCCCATTTCACTTCTGCTCCATAACTTTCCACCTAAGTGCCGACTATCTGTCTGAGTCGCTGGACCTTAGTTCAGGGGTTTTATTTGGGAGAACATGACTTTGACTTGTGGTAATTTGATGTTAATGACAATCATCAGCAGTGACACAAACAATAACAACAGAGACGAGAAGCGGTAGAGGTGACATCCACACCACCGCCGCATAAAGGTAGTCGTAGTACTCCCCACCTCCTGAACCTCGGAACACGCTTAACACGATTCCGGAGATCTGCGCCAGAGACATTTTTATGTGCGTTCCGTTCCCGAAAGTCGTGGCCTCTAATCGGCTTACCCATATAGTTCTCTGCCCCTTTCTGGAGTTGACACTTTTGGCTATTTCGTCCATTTGGGCTTTCGTGTTATTAGTTCGTGCCCAGGGTCTTCTGTTTTCTGTCCCTTCCTTATAAGTTCCCCATCAACTTGCTTGTTTTATGGTTGTTTCTTGTGGCCCAGTGCCAGATCAAAAAATGAGTTCAGCGTTTTGTTGTGACACTTTAATGGCCTGCTAGGCCCCATTCCCCATAGAGATGGTTATCGATATTACAAAATAGCCCTTGGTCAGAATGGTCAAAGCGTGCTGTATGGGTTTGGAATGGTAAGCAGTCAAGAGATTCTGAATTTTAAGGCTATGAGCAAGGTGGAATAGTTTGGATTACCATAAAATGTGGTTTCCTAGTTTTGTAAAATTAGTTATATGATGGTCCTATGATTTTGGCTTCCTAAAAACCACAATATGTTTTACAAGAAATCATTTTTACGTTCTCTTTGGTTAGGGAGTACTGTGTGAGATTCTTTTAAAAAAGACTAAACTACATAAGGAACATTTATGTCATAAAGGGTTTAATTCCCATAAATTCCATTTGTAGATCTTTCGATCTCTCCCCTCTCCGTATAGCCCATATCCCAGATCTTTGGGTCAGTCTGCCTCCCCCGCTCTTTCCGCACATTCCATAAGCTGGGGCCTCGAAAATCGTCTGCAAATTGCTCATAAATTACATGAAAAACCGTCGCAATGCCAAAAGCTGCACCTACACCATCATTATCAGCTTGTAAATAAAAAGACTTTATCAATCGTTAAGCCGCGGGCGGAGGCTCTCGATCCGGAGCCTGGTGTCCGGGAACCGGGAACCGAGATCCAAGATCCCAGATCCGTCCAGCTCCGATTTGGGCCCCGAAAGCGACTCTCTCACCTAATAACATAAAAGTTGTCAGAGGGAGGAGATGAGATGAAGATGGAGCGAGTGGAGTGCAGTGCAGTGCAGACGAAGGTGGATCCCAATGCCCATCCAAGTCTGAGTCCCAGGCTCTCCACTGCGGTCAAGTACAAATATTTTTATTTATGATTTTACAGATCAGCATATTGCTCAATAATTTCACCGCAACGGCAACAAAATAACTTTCAAATTACGCCTGCCGAGGGATCGACGCTTAAGTGCGCCAATTTTGAGATTATTATTGCCGGCTGCGTATGCAGATAATCGTGACCTGAACCTTAAGGACCAGGCTGCCCATAACTCAACCAGTTCGGAGTTCGGTATTCCGAGAGTTCGGCTATACCACGATCTGCCATCCAGGATGTCGCAGTAAAAGTGCGCTGGTAGATAAGAAACGTCTGCTCGTCCCATTTAATTACTCTATTTGGGTTAGTTTTCGGCCTTAAAAGTAGTTTGTTTGTCTGTTAGGTTAGGATCTGCGGTCTCTTGGGCAAGTATTTGGGGCAGCTTAATATTTTCCCATAAATTATTCGGGGCTAAGAGAAAATTACTTTAAAATTTATGGCCCCAGAAGAGGTACGACCCGGCATCTTACACGCTGATTTGGCCCTTTTATTTTCGGTTGGTTTCTTTCTTTTGCCATCGAGGTCTGGCTCAGAGGATCTGAGGATCTGAGAACAGGTATAAGTAGTTCGTGGTGGTGGAGGTGCCCCCAGACTGCAAAGCAATGCAATGATATCCGCGTTCCGAGGGGGCGGGCCCCTGGAAAGTTCGCACGATTGATGATCGACGGGCTCTGGGGAGTGGGGGATGGAGTTCCCAAGTTTCCGAGTTCCCCAGTTCCTCAGTTCCAGATTCCCTGGACTCCGATGACGCCGTCCTGTCACCGCACTGACATCGCCGTTTATGTAATTACCGCCAGCCGCGCTGCGATCACAGAGCTATCCCGATCCCGATCCGGATCCCAGCCGATCCGATCCGATATGATCGCGGCTTTAGCTTCGGTTGAGCCCCAGCTTGTAATTATTTTCTACTTAATCTTCATCACATGTGAAACATGTCGAAAAGTTAAGCGCTCGGCATGAGGCGTTGCCTCCACTCCTCGGTGCACTCCCTACTTCCCACTTCCCATTGTAAGCTATCCATCGCCGGGGATGCTTTTCATCGGATTTCACTTGCACTTGGGACTTCCACCACCATTTCCAATTGCTAATGACTTCAGGAAATTCCCAGAACTGAAAACTAATATTTTAAGGAATTTGTTAAACGAACTCTTCCCCAATTTCACGGTTTACTTGGAGGTCTTAAGTTAGAAAATATGTAGGAATTTTAATTTGTGATACAAGAAGATAACCCAGTATTGGCTTATACTTAAGTCAAGCTATGTAATGTCATAAAAAATGATACATGTTAAACGTATTTAAATCTTTATGATCTTAAGTATGAAATAATAAATACTTCTGTCTTAACTAACATATCTTTTTACGTGCCAGCCTTCACTTTTAACACGATAAACCTTAAGATATTTACAATCTAAAGATCTTTGGATAAGGCGTGTACACCAGATAATGTCTTGCTCGTGCATAAAGGCCCCCACAATAATTTACTCATATTTTATGATGCGACATTTCGGCTGCAAGTGCATAATAAGCGATTTTTTCTTTTCTTTCTGTATTTTACCCTGTTAAACGACAAGAGTGAAGCCTATAAACATGCATTGTGCCCCACAAAGAGACCGAGTGGCATGTATCACGTAATCGTCTGGCAGTCACATGGAACTGGATGCATCCCATACCATCTTATACGATTCCATACCATCTCATCTGGAGGCATAATCTGTTATCTTTCAATGCCCCCCTGCTGGGCAAAGTGAAAATGAAATGGGCTGTGTGCGTGCAGCAGATCACGCCCCTTCTCTTTCATCTGCAAGTGCATACAGTAATACTTATATATATCAGGTGGTTTTCGAGGGTCCCACATGGAGATTTTGAAGAGAGGGTGGGTCAACCTCTGACCGAATTTCCAGCGATAATTATCGACTGGCGTGCAAATATGCGGAAAGAACGCTCGCTGGGCACTCGCATTTTGTTCGCGTTTTCCTTGTGTTTTCGTATCTCCCGCTCTTTAAATGGAACTAATTAAATTCGTTCTTCGAAAGCGTTGAATTTCGTGTGTGTGAGCCCATAATTGGGGCTTGTAAGGTCGCCGGGAAACGCCCACAACCGATTCCGCTCTAATATACTGCCCCCTTTGCCCCATTTCGTCGCCCACTTTGCACTGATTTAGTGTCATATAAAGTTGTAAGTGAAGATTATGTTACCAGAATTAATTGCAGCCAAGGTGAAGGTAGCCAGGATGGGAATCGGGGAGTCGGGGAATCGGGGAATCGAGGAGAGACCCTGGAGAAAGAGAGACTGCGTCCCCTTTTGCCAGCAGACCCCATTCGCCGTCTGGTTCTGGTTTGTCCCTCCGCCTGTCTTTCTGCCGACAGCACGTGCTGAAGTTGTGGCCCCCTCTCCACGCCCCTGGAATGGGTAGCCCCCGCCCCTGTCTGGGCCTGGGACTTTTCTGTCAGTGTTGTCAAACAGTAATGGCTAAGAGGGGGAAACTACAGTAGCTGGATTACATTAAAAATGAGTGAATGCAGTATAGGATATATGATGTAAACTTAAAGTTTTTGTCCAAAAATGTTTAACTTTTATAAGACTGTTTGCCTTTATTAGGGAACCGTATCCAGTAAGCTAAAGATCTATATCTTATAATTTTAAACATATATAATCTTATCTAAAGGTTGTAATAAAAAGGCATAGA